AACTCACCGTTCATAGCACACCTAATAAGTACATTGAAATTAATAATGGCCACTATAAAAAAACCAGCATCCAATTGAATTTCATTCCCGTTCTACATGCCATATCTACATGTGCCTGAATGTCTCATTAACAGGTCACCCATACGATGTCTTCGTCCCACATTGTCGAAGCCCCAACACCTCGGAACCTCCAATCAAACGATTGGTTCTCTAGCGACTGGGGCATTTCCCAACCTCAGCCAAGCCGGAGGCTCGCCTCCCGTGTCTCAGTGATTTGTTGGTGTCAACCAACATTCCGATGAAATACCTGGCAACACGCAAATGAGCCGCCCGAAAACTGGGATGTCGAAACCTACTGGCCAACTGGACAGGTTTGCGAGGCGTTGACGATTGGTTTTACCCCTCCAGTTGTCAACGACTGGCTTTCGGTTGGAAAACCAGAAACCCAAGTTTCTCGATGAGAGAGAGAACGAGAGAGAGAGAACGAGAGAGAGAGAGAGAGAGAGAGAGAGAGAGAGAGAGAGAGAGAGAGAGAGAGAGAGAACGAGAGAGAAAGAACCAGAGAGAGAGAACGAGAGAGAAAGAACCAGAGAGAGAGAGAACGAGAGATAGAGATAGAAAAACCCTGCCCTGCCCTGCGCCAGCTCCTTGCCCTGCGCCAGCGCCCTGCCCTGCGCCAGCGCCCTGCCCTGTGCCAGTGCCCTGCTCTGCCCTGCCCTGCGCCAGCGCCCTGCCCTGCGCCAGCGCCCTGCCCTGCGCCAGCGCCCTGCCCTGCGTCCTGCTGCAGCCCGCGCCCTGCGGCAGCTGCACGTCGCGCCCTGTTGCCCTGCGCCTCGCGCCCTACGGCAGCCTGCGCGTTGCGCTCTGCTGCCCCGTGCGTCGCGCTCTACGGCAGCCCGCACGTCGCGCGCTGCTGCCCCGCGCGTCGTGCTCTGCTGCCCCGTGCGTCGCGCCCTACGGCAACCCGCCCGTTGCACGCTGCTGCCCCGCGCGTACGGCAGCCCGCGCGTCGCGCGCTGCTGCCCCGCGCGTCGCGCTCTGCTGCAGCCCGCGCGTCGCGCCCTGCTGCAGCCAGTGCCCCGCGCCCTGCTGCCCGCGCCGCCCAGGCCGAGCCGCGCCACCCGACACGATCCGCCCTTTTGCTCGTGCTACTGCTGCTGCTGATGGAGGTGCTGCTAGGAGTGCTGGAGGTGCTGCAGCCTAGCCTCACGAGCCGCTCTGCTGTTCGTCTTACTGCAACTGCTACTCGTATTACTGCCTTCACTCCGTACTGCCCTAGAGGTCGCGCTCCTCCTAGCTTGCCCGCCATGACTTCACTTTGTAGTCGCGGTGGGAGTGGTGACGACGATGTTGGCAGCAGTGGGAGTCGTGGCAGCCGTAGTAGCAGTCACTGTGGAGCTGTGTGGTGTGGAGTCTTTGGCGGTGGCCAGATGCAGCTATGGCGGCGTCCGACCCTTACGCCCCAGTAGCTTCGTGAGTGGCTTTACCAGCGTGGGACGTCTCCGAATCCTGGTCGCTGTCCGTACGTCATTCGCACAGGTCGTCGAGCTGGTCGGACCTGTGGGACACCTGGTCACGCACAGTCCCGCTGCTTCGCCTACTTTACTGACGCCTGGCACGCAGAGTTTGGCGACGAGGCTGAAACCCCCCACTGGCTTGAGCTGCTTAGGTCGGGCGTTGATGTCTTTGCTTTAGACTATGACGCCATCCTTACTGCCATGTCTAAATTGCCTAGTGGTGCTGAGAGTGACTGTTACCTGTGTGTGCAGTACGACCCCGGTATAGAGGTTGCTGCTCTAGGTGCTAGTGAGGCTGCTACCTTAGGTGCTGGTGAGTCTGCTCTCTCATTTACTGCACCTCCTGAGGCCTTGCACACCTTCACGCTTGACTCAGGTGCTTCCCGCTGCTTCTTCTGTGACAGTATCGCACTCACACCACTCCCTGCACATGTTGCAGTCTCTCTGGCTGACCCCTCAGGGGGCCCAGTTCTTGCACGGTCCTCCACTGTGCTTCCGTGCCCGGCGGTTCCGTCTGCCTCACTGTCAGGTCTCCACCTCCCCTCGTTTTTGACAAACTTGGTGAGCAACGCCGTCCTCCAAGATCATTGGGTTGACACCTTTACCCCTGGAGGACAGCGTGTGGCAATCTATACGTGCTCCAGGACTGGCCATCACCTGGCCACGTTCACCTGTCGGCCAGGGTCGAGTCTTTACACACTGACGACTTTGTCTCCTCAGGTAGCTGCTACTGGTCAGGTGTCTGCGTCAGGTCAGGTAGCCTCCCCTTGTTCGTGTCGCTCCCTGTCGCACCAGACTCTTCTCTGGCACCACCGCCTTGCTATGTCTCCATGGCATGCACCATCGCCTCCTTGTGTCTGGTCTTCCCAAGTCTCTCCCTCCCCTCCCTGCCTCGCCTGCGCCGCCCTGCCTTCCTTGCGTCGAGGGGCGGCAGCGTGCCCCTCTTAACTCCTCTTTGTTTCCCCCGACAGAGGCTCCTCTGCAGACCCTCCACCTGGACGTGTGGGGCCCAGCCCGCGTTCGTGGACAAGGCGGTGAGCGGTACTTTCTGCTGGTTGTCGACGACTACTCGCGTTACACCACGGTCTTCCCCTTGCGCACCAAGGGTGAGGTCTCTACTGTCCTGATCCCTTGGATCCAAGCAGTTCGTTTCCAGCTCCGCCGCACGTTCCGCCAAGACCTTCCTGTCCTGCGTCTGCACTCTCGGAGAGGTGGTGAGTTCACCTCCGACCTCTTGCGGGCCTTCTGTCAGGGGGAGGGCATCGAGCAGTCGTTCACGCTTTCGGGCTCACCGCAGCAAAATGTGGTTGCTGAGCACCGCATTGGCTTAGTCATGGAGGTTGCTTGTACCTCCTTGATCCATGCGGCGGCTCCCCATTTTCTGTGGCCGTTTGCGGTCCGGTACGCCGCGCAGCAGCTCAACCTCTGGCCCCGTGTCTCCTTCCCGGAGACCTCGCCCACACTACGTTGGACGGGAGAGGTTGGCGATGCGTCTCGTTTCCGAGTCTGGGGTGCTCGTGCCCTTGTCCGCGATACGTCCGCGGACACTTGGCGATAGAGTACACCATTCCTCGATAGCCCCACAACTCTCTCGATAGAGTACACCATTCCTGAGCACACTTGGCTTGGATAAGGTGTGGCGTGGGAACACAGTAAGGTTTGATACTCCACTGGCTGCAAGAACCATTCAAAACACCAGCCAAGACCCTAGGCTGCTCTCATTTGGTCGATGCATATCTTCCACTTGCGTCCAAGCAGACACTTTGACACCATGGTTAGACACTCTGTAAACTCTCAGTCTACCCCTCCAGGCCCCACAACAATGCACAGCACCTTTTGGGGCGCCTTTAAAGCATGCTGCCCTACACCCGTGTGCCAACGTGCTAGCCCAACATAAAGATGATCAACGTTACAAATATTATGTTGGGGTGAAGTCATCATGTGACGGAAGGCATGGGGTATAGTGCGGTGTGATTATGAATTTAGTGTGACAGCATGTTGATGTGATTGTTTCTAGTACTGCCAACATGCCCAAGTCAATCCACACCCATGCTGCATTGCGGCAATGAGAAACACACTACTGGTCACCCAAGCTCCACAATTCACAGCAAAGTTTTTATCCAATCAACCCAATACATTACAAGTTAGAAAGGTAGAGTACATAAAACAAAGCCCAAAGGCAGCCCTCCCTGACAGCCCACTGACTGCAACAGCCAATGAAAACGCCACCCAAAGCTCGATGCGAGTCATTCCATCATTTATTCCCCACCAACTGCAGATGGAAATACACATCAGGGATGCAAACAACACCCTATCTTCTGCTTGCTTGCACTCCAACATCGAGTCTTCCCATCAGGGGAAGATGGGAGCATAAAAAGGGGGAAGATGGGAGCATAACAGGGGGAAGATGGGAGCATAAAAGGGGGAAGATGGGAGCATAAAAGGGGGAAGATGGGAGCATAAAAGGGGGAAGATGGGAGCATAACAGGGGGAAGATGGGAGCATAAAAGGGGAAAGATGGGAGCATAAAAAGGGGGAAGATGGGAGCATAAAAGGGGGAAGATGGGAGCATAAAAGGGGGAAGATGGGAGCATAAAAGGGGGAAGATGGGAGCATAAAAGGGGGAAGATGGGAGCATAAAAAGGGGGAAGATGGGAGCATAAAAAGGGGGAAGATGGGAGCATAAAAAGGGGGGAGATGGGAGCATAACAGGGGGAAGATGGGAGCATAAAAGGGGGAAGATGGGAGCATAAAAGGGGGAAGATGGGAGCATAAAAGGGGGAAGATGGGAGCATAAAAAGGGGGAAGATGGGAGCATAAAGGGAAGATGGGAGCATAAAAGGGGGAAGATGGGAACATAAAAAGGGGAAGATAAGAGCATAAAAGGGGGAAGATAGGCGTGTGCAGGAAACGACGTGAGAGCGAGGCAATGGGCTGGGTGCATTGGCAATGTATTATGAGACACTCACACTTGTGATGGGGATGGATGGGCGTGGAATGGTGGTAGAAGTTTGGGTTGGAAGGGCATGGAGAATACTCTAATCATGCATGTATGATGAGTCAACTAAAAAAGCGACTCGTCATACGAGAATACTCAAATCATGCATGACAACGACTTTTGAGTCGCCTAAAAATATGTTATCGCACGTAGAAGTATGGGATGGATGGGCGTGGAGGGTAGTCCAATAGTGCATGAAAACGCAACCTGGAAAGTTGGAAGGGCGTATACTAGTGAGGGGGAAATGGTTGGGTAAATGGTGGTAGAAGGATGGGATGGATGGGCGTATACTGCAGTCAGCACCATCACCGCTCCCCACCGTTCACCTGCACGCCATTCACACTCCAGCCTTGGCCGCTGCCATTGAAGGGCGGGAAGAGGCTGCCCCTTACGCCCCCAATAGAGGGGAAGAGGCTGTCGCAGCCCACCCCCGGGTTGAGTGCGAAGAAAGTAAAGAAACTCACCCCCCATACCCTCACCCACCTTCACCGCACTCCACCGCTCACCTGCACGCCATCCCCACTCCAGCCGCGGCCGCTGCCACTGAAGGAAGGGAAGAGGCTTCCCCCAACGGAGGGGAAGAGGCTGTCACAGCCCAGCCCCGGGTTGAGTGCAAAGAATGTGGTGTCGTTGAGAGAATGATCCGCCATGATGCCCGCACACGTGTCCCCTGCCTTTACTGTGTACCATGCCGTGCACATGGGTAGGTCCGCCCCGTTGCCTAATGCCACGCACAGCTGCGTGGAGGGCAAGGAGAGTGTGTAGAGGTGGGAAGAGGGGACAGTGATCCGCCATGATGCTCGGACATGTGTCCCCCACTATCACTGTGTACCATGCCGTGCACATGGGTAGGTCTGCCCCGTTGCCTAATGCCACGCACAGCTGCGCACACACAAGGGCAGGAAGAGAGGAAGAAGGGAAGTGGTTTTTGAGGCGCATAAAACTCTACCTCGGTGCAGGCAGGTCTGCCCCGTTGCCTATTGCCATGCACAGCTGCGCGCCCAAGGGCAGGTCTGCCCCGTTGCCTGTTGCCATGCACAGCTGCGCGCCCAAGGGCAGGTCTGCCCCGTTGCCTAGTGCCATGCACAGCTGCGCGCCCAAGGGCAGGTCTGCCCCGTTGCCTATTGCCATGCACAGCTGCGCGCCCAAGGGCAGATCTGCCCCGTTGCCTAGTGCCATGCACAGCTGCGCGCCCAAGGGCAGGTCTGCCCCGTTGCCTATTGCCATGCACAGCTGCGCACCCAACAGGTCTGCCCCGTTGCCTATTGCCATGCACAGCTGCGCGCCCAAGGGCAGGTCTGCCCCGTTACCCCCCGTGCGCATGTGCAGGTCTGTCAGCTCACAAGCTGTTCGTCTCCGAATCGAGCCCACTTTCGTAGTGCCAAGTCGTCTCATGTTTTGAGGCGCCTCGTTCTTCTTTTTTTTGCAGAGTGTTTTTGAGAATTCTCAAAAACACTGAGCAGACTAGCTTTGAGGCGCCTCGTTCTTCTTTTTTTTCCGAAGCTACTCAGATACACCTTCCGTGCGCATGGGCATGGGCATGGGCATGGGCGTGTCAGCACACAACAATCTGTTGATCTCCGGGACGAGCCCCACAGCGGATTCACCGCCAACTGGGCCGCCATACCATTAAGCACCGCACTGTACCGAATCTCACCTGCTGGTTCACAGTCGGAGCGTTCCAGGCGGTTTTACTCGTGCAGTTGATCCCGGGGTTGAGACGAAGCAAGCCGGCCACTGTGAGCGAGAACAAGCTCGCGACGCCCTTGCATGTGTCATTCGCCGTCCACGAGTAGAACAGCCCGCACTGCACAGACCCCATGAGGGGTGGCAGCACGCTCACTTCCGTGTTTTTGGGGATGGTCACGCAGTGATCCATGCTCTGTGGGTGGGGTGAGGTGGGGTGGGATGGGATGGGCTGTGAATTGCACCAGTGACCAGGCCACGAGTAGAACAGCCCGCACTGCACCGACCCCATGAGGGGCGGCAGCACGCTCGCTTACGTGCTTTTGGGGATGGTCACGCAGTGGTCCATGCTCTGTGGGTGGGGTGCGGTGGGGTAGGGTGCGGTGGGGTGTGGTGCAGTGGGGTGGGGCGGGGTGGGGTGGGGGTGGAGTGACCACGAGTAGAACAGCCCGCACTGCACCGACCCCGTGAGGGGCGGCAGCATGCTCACTTCTGTGTTGGCAGGGATGGTCATGCAGTGATCCATATTCTGTTATTCAAAAGGTGATAACATGGGGTTGGGTGGGGTGGGGTGGGGTGGGGTGGGGTGGGGTGGGGTGGGGTGGTGTGGGGTGAGGTGGGATGGGGTGGGGTGGGTGCGTTGGGGTGTGAGTAGCACGAGTTGCAGGTTCTGAGAGGCAGAAAGGTTTGTATGGTAGACGCGGGGTGAAGCGGTTGCGGCTGTGAGCGAGATATACTATTAGGAGTCACTTTAGAGAGAGAAGTGGACAGGTCCACTTTTGAGAAGGGAGAAGCGGTAGCGGAGAGGGAGAGCTCACCAGGTCCGGGTTCTGAGCGAGAAACGCCTCCTCCGTGAGGCCGTAGAGCTGGTAGACTAGCGGGCAGTCGATGTCTATTGGGAAGACGACGGTGTATGAGGGGTTGGAGGCTGCAGGAATGCAGGGAGGACAGACAAAAAAAAAAGGCTGAAAAAAAGGGTGGTGGTTGTGTTGGAGGCTGGAAAGAGTCAGGTGGAGAGGGGACGGGAGGGAGGGGAACAAGTTGAAGAGGGACGAAGAAGTGTGGTTAGGGTTAGAGAGGAGCAAGAAGTGGGGAGGTGAGGAGTATTGAGGCGCCTCAAAAGGTGAACAGGTTCCGGAGGGACGGATAAGTGTGGTTAGGTGAGTGAGAAGCAAGAAGTGGGGAGGTGAGGAGAGGAGAGAGGAGAGGAATGGAGGAGTGGTGATTGAGAGGCGAGAAGAACACAAGAGAAAGGAAGCTGCAGTGATGGTTCAGAAGTAAAGTGTGCATACATGGGATGGGATAGATGTGATTTGCTGTGGCTCCTAAAGAAACATGAATATCTAAAGGACAAGAGAAGCCGCCCGCATGAACACTTACTTGGGACGCATGTGTGAGCGCCATTGGGCCGGTACCCCTGGTCAAATCCCGGCGGACAGAGACAAAAGAAGCCGCCCGCATTGTCGTTGATGCACGTGCCGACCGCACAGGGATTGTCATCCTGCAGGCTGCACACGTCAGCTGGCAGGGGGCGAGCGGGAAGGGGCGAGTGGGGAGAGGGGACGTGGGAGGGGGCGAGTGGGGAGAGGGGACGTGGGAGAGGGCGAGTGGGAAAAGGGAAAGTGGGAGGGGGCGAGTGGGCGGTGGGGAGGGGACGAGGGGCGGGGGCAAGGAGAGGGGAAGAGGTCGGGGGAGAGGGGAGGAGGCGCAAGGGAAGTTGGAGGGATTGGGAGGGAGAGGGAGGGAGGAGAGATCCAATGTAAGGTCATGTGTTGTAATGGGAAGGGAAGGGCGGGAAGATGATGGCAAGTGGGGAGAAGTGGGTGAAAAGCGGGGAAAAGGTGGGAAAAAACGGGGGAAAAGTAGGGGGAAATCAGTGTGAGCCTTTTTCTTAGTGTTTTTGAGGATTCTCAAAAGCACCCTGCAACTCAAACGAGTGTCACGTTTGTGCTTCCTTCCTGGATACCATCCCATCCCATCTCAACCACCCATGCCCGCACCCCATCTCGCCAAACACACAGGTGTGGGCGCCACTCACCAAAGACACACGTCTGCGCGCCGCCTTTGTCAGTAACGGCTATGAAGTACGGCTCCTCGCACATGCATGTGTACTGGCCGCTCCCAAGGTCCTGACATGTGCCTCCCCCACATGGGTTCTGAGGTGACAGGCATGGTGAGGGCGCTGGTGTGGGGGGAGGGGGCAAGGAAAGGGGGTTCAAGGTGCTGACATGTCACTGGGTGCTGAGTGTGCGAGTGTGCATGCGAGTGTGCGTGCGAGTGTGCGTGCGAGTGTGCGTGCGAGTGTGCGTGCGAGTGTGCGTGCGAGTGTGCGTGCGAGTGCGCGTGCGAGTGGGCGTGCGAGTGCGCGTGCGAGTGCGCGAGCGAGTGTGCGTGCGAGTGTGCGTGCGTGTGTGCGTGCGAGTGTGCGTGCGAGTGTGCGTGCGAGTGCGCGTGCATGTGTGCGAGCGAGTGTGCGTGCGAGTGCAAGTGCACATGTGCACATGCGCTCTGGATAGAAGCAAGAAGGTCTACTCACTCTTAATGATGGGGTAGAGGGCCGACACTGAGTGAATGCCACAGATGCCAGCGCCCCCCACTGAGTGTGCGCGTCTGCGTGCATGCATGTGTGTGCGTACGCAAAGTGGATGTGAGGTCTACTCACTCTTAATGATGGGGTAGAGGGCCGGCACTGAGTGAATGCCACAGATGCCAACGCCTCCCTCAAAGGCCATTTGCATGTAACCCTAAATGCAGAGAGTGAGAATGCAGAAAGAGAGTGAGAATGCACGCAGAGGAAGGGAAGAGGGGAGGGGAGAGAGGAAAGAGGAAAGAGCATAAGAAGAAAAAACGGCTCGGGAAGAGCAGGAGCACGTGACACAGTGCAGTGCAATGGGTTACGTGGCACTAGGAGCATGACGGTGCATCCCTGTGAGGCTAGCAGCACACAGCCCACCTGCAGAACATGCGACACAGCCCGCCTGCAGAACATGCGACACAGCCCACCTGCAGAACATGCGACACAGCCCACCTGCAGAACATGCGACACAGCCCACCTGCAGAACATGCGACACAGCCCACCTGCAGAACATGCGACACAGCCCACCTGCAGAACATGCGACACAGCCCACCTGCAGAACATGCGACACAGCCCACCTGCAGAACATGCGACACAGCCCACCTGCAGAACATGCGACACAGCCCACCTGCAGAACATGCGACACAACACATCCCACCTGCATGCCCCACGAGGCTCCCCAGGAGTTGCGGAGGATCCAGAAGGCGCCCTCAGCCGTGATGCTGTAGCCCATCACCAGCACGCTGTGATCCACCACTCCTGCCGCTGCACACCCTGCGTCGCTGTATATGCCCTGGATGGGAGGGAGCAAAGTGGAGGGAGAGAGAGAGAAGAGGAGGGAGAGAGGTGGAGGGGTTGGAAATGGGAAAGGTGAGGACGGTGCAATGCATGGTACCTCTTGCACCACTTCATTTTTTAGTCGACTCAAAAGTAACTCTCACACCACCCCATCACTAGCACGCTGTGATCCACCACTCCTGCCGCTGCACACCCTGGGTCGTTGTATATGCCCTGTGAAGTGGGGTAACATGCGGACGGGGAGAGGTGGAAGGGAGAGAGGAATGAGGGAAAGGAGGAGGGAGAAGGGAAAGGATGAGCACAGTTGACAGCATTCCATGGCTGCATGCCATGCATGTTATTGCTTCTACATGCCATGACTGCCCATCACATGAGCGAAGCAAAGTCCCTGCTACCTGTGAGGAGGACAGGATGAAATCACTTCTGGGGATTCTCAAAAGGGGGTAAGAGCCTCTAAGTCGGCTGAAAAATACCACCTAAACTCTGCTCCCCGTACCTGTGTGTGTGTCTGCGTGTGTGTGTGTGTGTGTGCGTGTGTGTGCGTGTGTGTGTGTGTGCGTGTGTGTGTGTGTGTGTGTGCGTGCGTGTGCGTGTGTGTGTGCGCGCGCGCGTGTGTGTGTGTGTGTGTGTGTGTGTGTGTGTGCGTGTGTGTGTGCGTGTGTGTGTGCGTGTGTGTGTGTGTGTGCGTGTGTGTGCGTGTTTGTGTGTGTGTGTGGGGGGGGGGGCGGGGGGGGGGGGGGGGGTCTGGAAGGAAGTGTAGGCGTCTCAGAAGCCTCAAAGAAACGCGACGGTGGCTTTTGAGACGCTCTTATGCCCCAAAAAATCGAGCCTTGGTGCCTTTGGCGTCAACCCAAAAGGGACTCAAAACACACCCAAACAGTGCAGTACCTCTGAGTGCGTGATGTTGCAGGTTGTTTTCTGAGAAATCTCAAAAGCAACTTGCAACGAGCCTCGGTGCCTTTTGCGTCAACCCAAAAGGGACTCAAAACAGTGCAGTACCTCTGAGAGTGCGTCTGGAAGGAGGGGTGACTGCTTCTGGGTCGGCTCAAAACACACACCACACAGTGCTTCCCTTCCCGTACGCCATTGTAACAAGGTGACTTTTTAGTCGACTCAAAAGTCACCTGGGTCGGCTCAAAACACACACCATACATTGCTTCCCTTCCCGTACCTGCGTGTACGTCTGGAAGGAGGGGTAGGAGCCTCGCACGAATGCAATGGTGGGTTGCATCTGCAGCAGAGAGGCGTTGGGGCAGCATAGTGGGTAGGGAAGGAAGGAGAGGCGGAGGGGATGAGAAGGGAAGGTGGATTAGGAGGGGTAGGAGCCTAGCACGAAGGCAATGGTGGGCTGAGTCTGCAGCAGATAGGCAAAGGGGGGAGGGGAGTGAGTAGGAAAGGGAAGGAGAGGTGGAGTGTAGGAGAGGGGAGGGGGGCGAGGGAAGGGGAGGAGAGGAGAGGGAAGGAGAGAAGAAGGGGAGGAGAGGAGGAGAGGATAAGGGGAGGAGAGGAAAAGAGGAGGAGAGGAAGGGGAGGAGAGGGGTAGGAGAGGATAAGGGGAGAAGAGGATGAGGGAAAGAGATGATAAGGGGAGGAGAGGAGAATGAGAGATGAGGAATGGGCGGATTGGCAAGTGCGGGCGGAGAGGAAGGGGAAGGTAAGGGGTGAAGAAGCTACAGCCAGAATGTTTGTGCAAATTACATGCCCTCTTACCTGAACTGTCACAGAAGTATTATCTATAATCGGCACGGAAGCACACCGGCACGGAAGCACACCGAGCCTTACGTTGACAGCGAGCAGCAGGGCGAGCCAGCCGTAGAAGTCCACCTGGTCGTACCCCGTGATGCCCACCAGTACTTGCCATGACTTAACGTGGTACCTAGTCGGCGTTTAGCCTTACGTTGACAGCAAGGCTTACGTTGACAGCAAGGCTTGCGTTGACAGCAAGGCTTACATTGACAGCAAGGAGAAGGCCAAACCAGCCGTAGAAGTCCACCTGGTCGTACCCCGTGATGCCTATGGTCGTCGCCTGGGCGCACAGACACGGCGCAGGGGTATGGGGGCAGGGGTATGGGCGCAGAGGTATGGGCGCAGGGGTATGGGCGCAGGGGTATGGGCGCAGGGGCGCACAGAGAGGGCGCATGGGCGTGGTGACAGGGGCATGGGCGCATGGCTGCACAGACAGAGCACATGGGCGTGGGCGCATGAGTATGGGCGCTTGGGCATGGGCGCAGGGGCGCATGGGCGCATGGGCGCATGGGCGCATGGGCGCATGGGCGCATGGGCGCATGGGCGCATGGGCGCATGGGCGCACATGGGCACGTGAGCACATGGGCAGGGGTGCAAGGTCAGGGCACAAGAGCAGGACACTAGGTCATAAGAATATACATGGGCAAGGCACCGTTCCCAGATGCACCCTCCCCCAGGCGTACCTCCCCCAGGCGTAGTACCTCTTCCAGGCAAACCACCCATGTAACGCCTGTGAAATACTGGTGTTAGAAGTTGCCTCCCCCAGGCATTCCGCTGCCTTTTGAGTCGACTCAAAAACCACCCATGTAACGCCTGAGAAATATTAGTGTTAAAAGTCTCCTCCCCCAGGCGACCCGCTGCCTCGGCGGTGAGGCTGCCCCACTGCCGCGTGGCGACGTGATAAAAGTTGAGTTCTGAGACGATTCAAAAGGCTAACTCGGCGAAAAGCCCTCCCCACTGCCGCGGTATTGAGATTTCTCAAATACCACCTCCCCCTGGCAGACCACCCCCAGGCGTACCTTGCGCCGGACGCATCTGCTCTGCCTCTGCAGGTACGGGAAGAAGGGTGTCTCGGCGGCGAGGCCCCCCCACTGGCGTGTGGCGTCCACAATGTAGTCCAGCGCTGCCGTCGGCCACCCGCCGTCAACGCAGTTGCTGCTGCTGTTGTTGCAGTCAATCACCTGAGGGGTTTGCGGGGTGGGGGAGGAGAGTTGAATCGGTGCTGTGGCGATGAGACGCCCTCCACATTGGGAACAGCCCCATTGGGAACAGCCCCCACTGGCGTGTGGCGTCCACCATGTAGTCCAGCGCTGCTGCCGTCAGCCACCCACCGTCGATGCAGTTGCTGCTCGTGCTGTTGCTGCAGTCCAGCACCTGTGGGGTTTGCGGGTGGGGGGAGGAGAGTTACTTAGTTGGATTTGACGGAGCAAGCAATTTTGACGGTTCCGTTTTTTACGCTGGACGGAACACTCCGAGATTTTGACGGTGCAATTGACGCTGTCGTCACAAAATTTCGGCCCCAAAAAAATATGCTGAAAGAATGTTTTAACATAGTTCAAAGTATGCCAAACGGAACATACTTGTGGATCATTGCTGGGGGTATGTTGCTGCATACCTCGCGCCACATCTTGCTACGAACAATCCCCCCCGCTCCTAAGTGAACAACGTCAAAGGGAAACTCGTTTCTGTATAACGTTGCGTAACAGTACACTAATGTAAAATGCAAGGACACAACTTATATATATGTAAAATCTTACATGGCATTTGTGACTGCAAACTATCATTAAGAACTTTCACTCATTATAGGCAGCATTTCGTATAGTCACATTTGTCCAGCAGCAGCATGCCCTGTCATTGCACAAAGTTTTTTGGTTGTTTAAATCAGTTTTATAAAACCATAAATAAGCCAGCGGTCACACATGCACAAATTAAACACAAAACATCAGAGGTGCTTGTTGCATCCGACCCTACAGTACAAAGCCTACATTAGCAAGATCTTCGAACCAATGCGCCATCCAATCTACCCCGGTATAATGCAGGGGGAGATGAGGAGCCTCTACGGTATCATTGCATGAGAAAGAGCCCATCACTGCCATTCCCTCTGCTTCCACATCCCCCATCACTACCTCTCCCTCTGCTCCCTCATCTCCCTCGTTGCTACCTCCCCCTCTCACTTTTCCCCCATCACGGCCTCCCCAACTGCTCCTTCATCCCCTCACCTACTGCTCCCTCATCCCCCCCATCAATGCCTCCCCGACTGCTCACCCATCCCCCCATCGCTGCCCCCCCCACTACTCCTGCTTTCCCCCTGTCAATGCATCCCCCTTAGGTGCCACATCCCCCTTATTGCTACCTCCCCTGCTGCTCCCTCCTCCTCCCCGTCGCAACCTCCCCCGACGCTCCTCCCCCGTCATTGCCTCCCTCACTGCTACCCCATTCCTGTCACTGCCTCACCCACTGTTCCTCCATTCCCCCTGTCGCTGTCTCCCCACCCTGCTCCCTCATCCCCCCCATAGCTGTCTTTCCCCCTGCTCCCTCAACCCTCCCATCACTACATCCCCCTTAGTTGCCACCTCCCACTTATCGCTGCCTCCCCAGCTGCTCCCTCATTCCCCCCAACGCTGCTTTCCCCACAGTTCCTTCATCCCCCCCGTCTATGCCTCTCCCTCGTCACTTCTTCCCCCTCAGATGCCTCGAAGATGCCTCATTCCCTTCGTCGCAGGAGACCGATTCAATAAAAAACAGTCAACGAGGTTCAAATACAAGCCATCCAGCTGATACTGATGAGAAAATCGTGGTTCGGGGGGGAAGGAAGGGGGAGGAAGAAAGTGGGAAGGGGAGGGGAGGGGGGGGGGGGGGGGGGGTATTGAGATGGGATGAGGTATTGTTGATCATGATAGAGTGAGAGTGAGTAGGGAACGGCAAGGGTTACAGGACAGTGGGAAATGGGTGATAGGGGAGGGTCTTACAGGTGCTGGAGGTGAGGGAGAGTGTTGATGCGGTAAGTTGAGGTGGGGGTTTCACAGGTGTTTGAGACGAGTGAGTGTAGAGCGGACAGCAAGAGAGCCTTTAAACGAGTTGTACACTTTTTCCTGTGCACGCACACAAGGGGATATATGAATGAGAACACCCTAGAAAACCAACACACACAAGAGAGACCATCGTTGGGGCGCAATCAGAGCATCGGTTAATGACCAGGCGAAGTCGTTGAATGTGAAGTTGGCGGGTTGACGAGAAGAAAGCGAGGAGGGTGGTCGCAAGAGGAGGGAGGGCGCATGCGCAGATATGTATCGAGCGCGACCACGCGAGGACTCTGCGCTCTCCGCGAGCCGCTGAAAATCTAAGGTGGAGTTGAGACATTCCAAAAACTAATCTACTTGTACGATAAGTTACTTGGTTGCTAGGGGTGTTCAAGTGGGGTGCTTTCAAGGGGGCCTGGCAGTACGGGGTCTGCTAGTAAGCGAACGGCAAGCGAAATGCGGATAGCAGTAGTACATGGAGGGCTAAGCGAACATATGATTGCAGAACGGTGCGGCACAGAGTGAATGGGAAGCGACGCTATCAAAACAAAGAGGTGGTCAAAACAGAGAGCTGGTCAAAACAGAGAGCTGGTCAAAACAGAGAGCTGGTCAGAACAGAGAGCTGGTCAAAACAGAGAGCTGGTCAGAACCAGAGAGCTGGTCAAAACCGAGAGCTGGTCAAAACAGAGAGCTGGTCAAAACAGAGAGCTGGTCAAAACAGAGAGCTGGTCAGAACCAGAGAGCTGGTCAAAACAGAGAGCTGGTCAAAACAGAGAGCTGGTCAGAACCAGAGAGCTGGTCAAAACAGAGAGCTGGTCAAAACAGAGAGCTGGTCAGAACCAGAGAGCTGGTCAGAGCCTGGATGCATAGATCATACACGCATGCATAGATGCATGCCCTAGATGACCTTCCCTCCTGCTCGTCCATGCCCCCCCACGCACTTGCACCGCAGTGCACCGCTCACCTGCACATCCATGAGCGGAAGGTCGAAGGGGTGTGTCTGCCGGCAGCGGATGGCATCCAGGCTGTTGGCAGCGACGGTGCACTCATACACAATGCGCGCTAGCATCGTGCTCGCTACCCTCTTATTCATCGTTGTCCTCGCTGCTCCCATGCCATCACACACGCTGCGGTGGGACAGGGGCAAGAGAGTGGGGGATGAGAGGGGAGCGAGCGGGAGGAAGAAGGAGAACAGAAATTGGGCGGGAGTGAAAACACACTGAATTCCACTGCCAGCTGCAGGCATGGACTTTGCATTGCCAAGGCATGCTTCTACAGGTCTCGCCTCGCCGTGCCCCATGTGCCTCGCCATGCCACCTACATGCACCATGCCTACACACCTCACCTGTGCCCCACCACATCAGGTCACGCCATGCCATCCCATGACGTTCCATGCCCCACCATACCACCCATGACACCCCATCCCAACCCGTGACACATACGTGAGCAGTATCCGGAGGAGGCAGGGTTGGCAGTAGGGGGGGAGCGGGAGGTGGAGAAGGGGGGAGGTGGGAGGAAGAGCAAGGCGAGGAGGCAGTCGAGGGCGATCTGGCGCAGTGGACGGGACAGAGCCGCCACCTGCTCTCCAGGTAGGTGAGGCAGCTGGGAGGGTGAGGGGATGCGGGGTGGAGAGGGAGAATAGGCTAAGTTGGTATGTCAAATTTATATTGGGTGCAGCCAAGAGTCGATAAGGCCACTGTAGGAGCATAGAGAAATCCTGAGCGAGCGAGCGCTAACCTCACGCAGGTTAACGCTGTCCTAGACGCACTCGGTGACAACGAAGTCGCGGTGCCCATCTCAAACTCGTTTGCCTCGATATTGCTCAGATCCAGAATGTCGTTCATGATCTCCACGAAGCCGTGCTGCTCCTCCGACAGCAGCAGCTGCGTCATGCCTGGGCAGTGTATGGCAAATGTGGGTAGAAACTGAGTATACAGCAAGGCAAGAGTCTATGAGGAACGCGTGAGTGCAAGGCCGTGAGCATGCGTGCAGCAGTCCGAGCTGGGGTAAACTCTATCGTGAAGTTCTCATCTCACCGAGCACGGGTTCATGGAGGCGGTTGGCGGACTCTGCCTCCGTGCGCTACTCGCGCAGCTCCGCCAATCCGCTCCAGAACCGGCGACTGCTGTGATATGCAGCAGCGCCATTGCTCCAAGTCCTGCCGCCTTGCGCGAACACGCGGAAGCAGAGGTCAGCGAGATCGGTACAAGTGGGTGGTAACCGTACCGCAGCTCTGTAATTCTGCCAGTAAAAAAGGTGGATGGCATGACTGCTCCTCACCTCGATGCATCGCTGCAGGTGCCGCAGGTTCCACTCTATTCTCGCCGCAGCGCCTCGTTGCTGCGCAACAGCTGCTCCGTGGGCTCCACCATGCGCTCCTGCAGCGCTGCGTTGAGCGCGCAAATCGTTACGGCGCTCCCGCTTCAAGAAAATAGGTGACAGTGGTGGATCTTATTTCCCGCAGTTTGCGTACCACCCGTCGCGGTGGTCTTGCTCGATTTGCGCTTTCCTAATTCAACGACGACTACGAAGTATTGGAAAATGAAACAACAAGACTCAAGAAAATTATGAATCTCGTGTGAAATCGCTCGACTGAAATAGGTCGAGGAGATGAGACTCACATCGCGAAATAGTTGCTTCCCGCAGCTTCAAAGTTGCTTTTCCGCAACTTTGGTTTCGCAAAAAAAAAGTCTAGGTCAAAGGCTTCTGGGTCAGGGTTACAGGGAAAGTGGTTTTCCCGCAACTTTCCCGCAGCTTTTTAGCAACGTTTCCCGCAACATGGTCGCAACACGCACAGCGTCATGGGGGTCGCTTCTACGTCATGTACCTGTCAGTGACATTTGCGTCACCATGCGGACACTCCACGGTTACATCTGTGCGTTGCCACATAGCTGCCGATTAGCATACATGAAGTCACTATTCCACGTCAGCATAATATCTACACGTGTAATCACGCTTTATGACAGGTGGATGCCCAACCATAACGAATCGTATCGTGCCGCATGTACGGTCGAGATGGCCACAGTTGTACGCACGCGATTGTCGCGTGGCAACTCCGCTCTGCCAACCGCAGCACGGCACATGGCCGCTCCGGATACGCCGACAAACTCCAGATCTCACACGCATACGCCTCATCTCTACCGTCCGTCCGATACAAATGTCATCCCTCGATTTGTAGTGGAATCCACCTGTACCTACACACGCCGTCCGTTCGGTGATAGGGTTTTCCAACTAGGACTACTGATACCAATCGCACGTACACACGTAATTGTCGCGGATCTCACGATAACACATCTGTGACCATCTCCATCACACACGTGGCAAATAGCCATTGGACACCGTCGTCGGTCTAAAAAAAGGCCCGTTTCATTGATGAGCGGTTCGGCGGATTGTACGGTTGCCCTCTATCCACGTCGCTAGACTAGCGTGGCATCTAACGGCTCCTATTTAACCCGCCGCATATGTCGCCGCGATTAGCGCCGCAATTGTCGCCGTACTGCGCGGAATGCAGAGAGTTGCGTTTCAACCATCCTCGTGTCCAACATGCGCAAGGTCTCCCCTAGGTGTGCAAGATCCAACATATATGTCACCGATTTATTGCACATATGCACTGAACCAACAACAACCACAACCTGTCCTTACTAAACCACTACACTAGTCTACGACACACAAGTGGATTAAACACACTATCAGCACTTCACCCATCTGTTTCACTATCCGATGCTCCCGACGCGGAGGACTCATGTTCTTCGTCTTCGGAGGCTGCTTCATCTTCCAGGAGGCATTCCAGGCCGCAAGATGATAGACGGAGCCCATGCCTGCCCCACTTCCAGGACTTCTTCTCCTCGTCGTAGGGCACTTCATTCCGGCATACTGCATCCGCAATGGCATCGAAGGCCAGCTTTTGAATCCTCCGCACAGAAGCGCTGTTCTCGCACGGAGAGTTGTGCAGTTTCCCCTTGCGCTTCTCCCAGTTGATAATCGCGTCCGTGATCTGCGAAGGCAGGAGAAGCCCATTTAGAACGGCTAGTTGAACGAAAGTGGCTACAACATATGTTCGCATCGGTGTAAACGTACAAGGTGCTCGAGCCACGACAGGTGGTACAGCTTTATAGTTGTTTCTTTGTCCTTCCGCTTCCCTCCGAAAGCCGCGATGGCACATGCCGCGAACGCTCCGGGTGCAAATGGCAGTCCATCCTTGCTGATGTGCCACTTGCACAAGGTCGGGTCCCCTGTGCACGTGGAATGCAAAATGGGTACAACGATACCGCGTACGGAAAAAGGGGAGGGTTCAAAGACATGTCTGGTCCACTATGGCACGACACAGGAGTTGCGGCCATAATTGCTCCGGCCATATGACATGCGAACACGCACCATCGTCTGGGACGGGGACGCAATATCTCTTTCGGGCACGCTCCCCAGTGCGCTCCGTCTTACGTGCCCAAGGACTGGCCCTGTCCTCGTCGTCACGGAAAAGACCAATTCGTGGAAGAAAAACTCCGCGAGCGCGACCGGCCAACCCTGTTTTGTACTCGGACAAGGTCTTGTTCAGATCCTGCCGTCGAGCCTTATCCGCGTCTAACGCCAGAGTCGCAGTTTTGGGAGAAATGGTGGACACGACATGGCATAGGCCGGCGTTTTTGGCGTCGCGACTCGGATAGAAGTCCATCTTCTCGTTCGGGGCTTCTAGAAACAGATGATCCTTAACCATGTCGCAAACACCCTGCGACAATGAAAATAGTTGTGCGGGGGGGGGACACGGTGACGAGATATGTAGTGCATCCAACAACTGTGCCACGAGGTGAGCAGAACACACTATGCGAGGCCTCACCTTCCAAGCCTTCTCCGCTGGAAGGATGTCAAGGGCGGTTTGGAGCACTGGCGACTTGTCGTGACGCGCGTGCCGTGCCACTTTCGCCGGCAACTCGTCCTCATCGCACGTGGATTCTTCGTCATCATCTGACTGGCATTTCCGCTTCGAAGCTTCCCGGCCGAGCGAGGCTGCGGCACTTGTGGACGCCCGCTTGCGCTTATGCCCTTTGTCAAGGCGGATGATGGTCAGTACGTGTGACTCCAGACGAGCCAGTGTCTTCGCGGTATCATTCTGGGAATCACGCAACGCATCAAATTCCTCGCGTGTGACTTGGCCATCTGCTGCTTCTATCCGCTTCCTCGAATGTGGCGCTTTTGTGGCCTGCTCCTCCTCTGATCCGTTCTCGCCACACGGATCGTTGCTTGACGACTGACCACCAGCGTTTCCCTCCTCGTCGTCCTCATCTTCGCCTTCCATTAACTCGTCTATCAGGCGTTCCTTCACGGCCTCTGTGTCCTCCTCCCCTTGTGGTGCGCTGGCGACAATGGGCGTGCAGGCTGCCTCCGCGTCGACGGCCCCGACAGCCTTGGCACTGCATATCTGCAGCGGCACTTCTCGAGTCTCTGTGACCAGGTGCGTGGTAGGTAGAAGGGTGTTAAGTTTGCGTGCGCATACGGCATATCTCACCACAGTCATGCATTAGCACTGGTACATGAAATGCAACGTACTTGTCACGTCACAAATGTTACCTTCGTCATGCCCCGCGTTCTTATCCTCCGCGCCACATTTTTCTGTGCCTGTTTTACGCCTCTTGGGTTCCGGTAGGCGTCGTCCTTTCTTCTTCCGCTCCCCGTATTCATATGAATCAGCTAACCATGACGGCGCAGTCTTCGCCCGCTTGGAACGACCGCCGTCGGTGGGAGTCATATCGACCTCTAGCGGAGACAGCATCTCAGACCGCATACACAGCGGGGTCGAAATGGCGTAGCTCTAAACCACCCCGGGGTTCTACCCTCGCTCGCAACAGTCCCCTTACCACTCTCGTGGATATCGCAATGCTCGATACCGGAGTTTCTCACCGCACTAGTTGCCTCACGCTCTTGGCCACGCGCACAATTCTACACATGTCACGGTTAGAGTGGCCAGTTTGATTACAGACAAATGTCAGCCACACTTTCCACATGTAAAATGTCGCCGTGCCACGATTGTCACATCGTCGATGCTCGTACTCGTTTCTGTCAGATGCGATACTCCACTTATACACCCCCTTATTTCAGCATTTGCTACTAGCCCCAACTGTGGTTACAGTTTCTACATGTGCAAAGTTTAAGTGTTATTTGTCGTATATTTACATCTCCTCGATATAGACAGTTTAATACCGTGATACATGCGATGCTTACATTTCCAGATCCACCTACCCGCCACCAGCTCTAAGTCCTATCAGTATGAGCACAGAACTAGAACATCCCGTGGTCCAATGGCCACCATGTTCATGGCTTCAGGCAACACCCTCTGCACGGTTGACCTCCTCCCAGTCATCTTCGTCGAAATCATCGTTTCCCGGTTCATACACAGCATCATCGTCAACGGACTCATCGTCATCCGTGTAGTCCTCTGGTGGGTCCTCTGGCTCTTCAGCCATAGGCTGGTCCTCTGTAGTCTGCGTGGTCGCCTCCACCTCCTCAACGTCACTAATGGCTCGGGAGACTCTGCCCTTTCGCCGCGAACGGGTCTCGACCGGCTGCGCATCGTCCAGGCCAGCCATTGCGGCTCTCCACTCCCTCCATCTGTTCCAGCGCCTGTACTTCACGAGTAGCCTTAGGATCTCCTCGGTGCAGCCGGCTAAAGCCTGCCTGTCACCGTCGGACAGCTCCACCGTGCAGCTGATGCGTGAGTTCGGGCGAAGTACAACGGCTCCCGCAGCATACGCGTATGACGCCTCGTCCTTGTCCTCGTACGACCCCAGACGAACCTGCTGACGGCGAGCAGATATGATCCGGACGTAGTACCTCTGCTTCGCTGCGTTCCACATAACTCCCGTTCGGCCGCTGCTTGCGACCCTTCCGAGGTTACCTGGAGCTGCGGGCACGGGAGTCTTAGCGCGGCTGCGCAAAGCCACTGCAAGATGGTCGCGCTGTTGTTGCCTGACCACAGCAGGTGTCGCGTCGCCGGCAGTAACTTGGCTATCTTTCACGGCAGATGTGTGAGGTGCAGGACAGGGAGAGATTGATGGCACTGCCGCCAGTGCACGCGTCGGAGGAGTCTGCGCGACCTCCTTCTGGCCACTTCCGTCCGCGGTAGGTTCTGCTTTGGCGTGCTTGCGTGGAGTCGCCGTCGGCACTAGCGTGTCGACCACGGCACCCAGGTGTTGGCGCGCCCCTGCGTCCAGCTCGTCCGACGTCACGCCTTTGCAGATGGCCAGATACTCGATCTTGGCCGTCAGAACCTGTATGTCGTGCTCAATCACAGCGAACTTCTCCTTGTGGTCTAGCAGCTCTCTTCGGATGTCCACAGGAGGGTCGACGCATATGTATCCGTTGTCGTCGATAACAGGAACAGGCTGCAGAGGTATGCGGAGACCCTGGCGTTGCAGCTCGGGAATCAGCGTTCCCTCGGCATGAGAACAAAGATCCCCACGCATCTTGTGGCGGTACCTCTCAGCGCTCACGCCCTTGAACGATATGTACTCTCTCACGGTTATGAACCCAGATGTCACCAGAGTTTCGAGATACTGGCACATGTACACTCCGCAGTCCCAGCTGTTAGGTTGTTTGGGGATCTGGTGACCCTGCGCACCATCGAGACACGATGTTTCCGTTCATCAGAACGCGCTCCCGTATTAGCAAGCAAGTGGGATAGAATGAGCTATAGTGTCTTTGCAGCATCTCACCTCCATGATTATCGTTTCGGCCTTGATGAGCGCTTGCCTAGACGCCACCTGGTCCACCTCCGGATGATCGCGTTTGCACATGAGGTGCAATAACCTGCACGACGATATAGCCAACAGGTCAGATGAGGTCGCAGGACGTCACCGCTGAAAGGGGGTTGCACGGTGGTATATAGCGACTCTCACGCTTTAGTCCCGTCAAAGGCATCAGTAGTCTTGGCGTGGAGGCCGTCACTGTCGAATAGAATGAACTCCACAGGTGCGGCCGTCTGGCTTACAATCCCGCTCGGGTTGGTTACCACCATCAAAGAATAGTGTTCCCTGCACAATTGAGGGGTCTTTGTTAGGCTGGGGCGAGAGACGGGCTTATTACAGCGGCGGGCAAAAGACGTACTTACCCGGCAAATATCGAGACGGCGATGTAATCGTACTCGAACACAGACGGGCCCGTGCACCTCCCAATCGGCTTCCCGTGAATCTTGGCATACGCATACGCCTTGCTGTCAAGGACCACCCATGATTTCCCGTTCGGACACCTTGGGTACCTGATGTTCAGGAGGCTGCACGGGTGCGAAGGGACAACGCACGATGAAAGTTTAAACGTTAAAGTCGGCATACCGTAGGGTGGCGACAAAGCAACCTGTAGGAGTATCGCCATCCAAAAACGTACATGTTATGGAAATCGACGACCGCGTCCCCCAGATATTTCTTGTCGGCGAGCGTCAAGGCGTCGTGCGCATTCACTTGACAGCCCACACCCATGTGGTTATACAGAGACACCGTCTTAAAAGTCGTTGAAGATGGTGCGTTCAGTAGAGCAGTCAGCGCGTCATTCGGCGCGGGCTCATCTTTGACGCATGGCAGCCGCGAGCCCCATGCGGAAACCGACGCGGCCACTGCGGCTTCCGTATTCGTATCCCCCTGCTGGAGTTCACGCGAGCGCAGCCGCTTGTTGCTTAGCGATTCCGGGATCGTGGTGTTATCCCGCCGCGCCGCTGCCGGTGGCCTACGCGATGTCATGGCTTGTGGACTATGGAGGCCGCGTTTAGAGGCCTGGGCTTTGGTTCGCGGTACCATGGCTACTACGAGTTCGTGAGAGAGGCCGAAACCCTAGTGTGGCAAGAACTTAACTGTCGGGCTGTAGTGCAATTGAAGCGTTTATACACTCCACCAGGCACCTTCGGGTACAAATATCGGATTTGCTCAGACGACGGAGACCCAGGGTCAGAGCGCGATTCTAGAATGTGGATACCACCATGGCGGTTCGTGATTGGCAGCGGGTTCCAGCCATATTTGACACTTGTCACAGTGCAATTGAGCCGAGATTACTGTACCCTCGTCAGCATGCACAGCCGAGACTATGCGGAACCTTTATACACTCAATTGTGCAGCCCTTATCGGGACGACATATGTCCCGTTATGAACATAACCAAATGCGATTAACAGCGATGTAACATTTCGGCCACTCACCTAGACGCGGATGGATTTATTTCGACTTCGTTTCAGTTACACCATTGAATTATTGTCGAACACTGAACGTACCGACGATGAGTGGAGCATCCAAAATAAATGATGTAGATTGATGTTTAGGGCGATGCGGCGTGAAAGTTCCTAAATAGTAGAACTATACCAGCCAATGTAACAGTGTACCGACTTACGCATTCATGCGCACAATATCTCGGAACCCCAACTGACCCGGGCATATACTATACAGGGTACGGAAAGGTCACTAACAGATTAGCTTTCAGGGCACAAACATGTGGTTTCAAGCGTGCACAACCGTGGTAGCCTATGAGGTGTACCCACGTTATTGCGCAATCAGTAGCTTCTGTGGCCAATCCACGACGGAGACCCAGGGTCAGAGCGCGATTCTAGAATGTGGATACCACCATGGCGGTTCGTGATTGGCAGCGGGTTCCAGCCATATTTGACACTTGTCACAGTGCAATTGAGCCGAGATTACTGTACCCTCGTCAGCATGCACAGCCGAGACTATGCGGAACCTTTATACACTCAATTGTGCAGCGTTTATCGGGACGACATATGTCCCGTTATGAACATAACCAAATGCGATTAACAGCGATGTAACATTTCGGCCACTCACCTAGACGCGGATGGATTTATTTCGACTTCGTTTCAATTACACCATTGAATTATTGTCGAACACTGAACGTACCGACGATGAGTGGAGCATCCAAAATAAATGATGTAGATTGATGTTTAGGGCGATGCGGCGTGAAAGTTCCTAAATAGTAGAACTATACCAGCCAATGTAACAGTGTACCGACGTACGCATTCATGCGCACAATATCTCGGAACCCCAACTGACCCGGGCATATACTATACAGGGTACGGAAAGGTCACTAACAGATTAGCTTTCAGGGCACAAACATGTGGTTTCAAGCGTGCACAACCGTGGTAGCCTATGAGGTGTACCCACGTCATTGCGCAATCAGTAGCTTCTGTGGCCAATCCACGCCTGTCAGGGCAAAGAGGGAGTGGCCAGCTGGCGCCGATGCTTTTCAGAAGCTAGACTCACTCATTGTCCATTAGCAGCTACATTGGACGCTGTACCCGCCAAACCTACCGGCTATATCATATGCCGCCATTTGTAGCAGACGCCACTTTACTTCCATGGCCGCTCTAAAGGATCTCTTGTCGCGCCTTGGCGCTCCTCCCAGCGAAGTCTACATATTTGTAGAGGTTTCTCTCCTTCCTGCTCTGCAGCCATACCTGCATCCGTTCGTCGGGCGCAATGGGAATGATATGAAGAGGCTGTCTATCGGCCTTCTCTATTCCGCAGACGGCGCGCATCGCTTCAGGCCCATTGTAGTGAGCACCGATCGGGAGCCACTGAGGCTGGGCCACGATGTCAGCGGCGACCAGTGGGCATATATCCGCCGTACTCGGTCCGGCCGCATAACCCCCCAGGTAATGGCGAAATGTACTAGAGATGACACGCAAAAATGTCTCCTATATATGGACTCAAGACGTTGGTGCTCAATATATGTCTCTGTGATACTCTATGTTGTTACGTGCAGCTTTTCACGCAGTTCATGCTAGGCCTCAACGCTGCGAAATTTGCAGAGGACCGTGACATCGTCGTCCTTGTGTCCTCGCGTAGGCACAAGCTCACTTGGGGAGAGGGCAAGCGAGAGCCGAGTGGGCCCTTCATGGTGCACCACCTAACCCATACTCGCATTGTGCAGCTTCATGATACTGTACCAGACGTGGGGAACCCCGTCGTGCAGGGCATTGTCACGTTCTCCAGGTCCGAATTCCGCACAATGTGGGTGGACCACCAGACTCGCTTCATGAGGCGCGTGTGAGAAGAATGAAGAACGAGGATGAATGAACTATGAATGAGGTGAGTACATATAGAAAACCCTAATTGGGTTGTACCCCCTATGGGATACCCCACTATAGCCTACACAACAGCATAAGCTATATAATGTTCTGACACACCCCCATAGGCAAAGTGGGGGAGAACAAGGGGTCACAAGACCAGTCAAGCAAAGCAGAGCAAGCTCAGGGTGGATCACAACGTCACCACACAGTCCGAGCACAACGACAAGGCCACAAGGCCAGTTCACATGCAGGAGTACACATATATATATAGAGCTAGACAAGCAAGAGCAGGTATATATATGTGACAGTACAAGTAAGGTCAAGAGGAGAGCAAGTGAGGCAAGACAGGTACAAGACCCAGCTGAGTGCAGAAGCGCTGATGGTCACAAGGCGCAAGTGCCTTGGTGAACACATCAGCAGTGTTGGCCTGAGAGGCCACGTACGCAAGTCGCAACTGACCACGCTGCTGCAGCTCACGAGCAAGAAAGTAACGGAGAGCAATGTGCTTCGTTCTGTGCTCCAAGCGCTGCTCTCGACACAAGGCCAGCATGGCCTTGTTGTCTACGTACAGCACTGGAGGAGAACGAGGCGGCTCTCCAAGGTCAGTCAGCAGGTAGGTGAGCCAGCGAAGCTCCTGTGCAGCCATGGCCCCGGCGTAGATCTCAGCCTCACAACTGGAGCCGAGAACAGAGGACGAGCGAGTAGCTCGCCACGAGACAGAGCCGGAACCAAGACTGAAGGTGTAACCCTGCGACGACCGCTGCGTAGCCTGGTCGTCAGCCCAAGAAGCGTCCGCGTGCCCAGTGAGGACCACTGGACTCCGCCCTCCAAGCACTAGTCCCATGCCCGACGTACTGCACAAGTATCGCAACACCCTCTTCGCTGCAGCCATGTGCTCTGGTCGGTGTCTCCCAGGAGCAACATAGCGTGCAAGAATGCTGAGAGGGTATGCAAGGTCAGGTCGTGTGCAGGTCATCAGGTACATGAGGCAGCCAACAAGCTCTAGATACGGGCCACTCGACTCTACTGACTCATCCGAAGGCAGAGCTGAGAGTGAGTGGCGAGTAGGCAGAGGAGTGGCCTGAGGCGAGGAGTACGTGAAGCCGAAGCGCTGAAGGACCTGCTGCACCATGTGTGACTGAGTCAGGGTAATGGTGCGGCGTGCTCTGTCCCGGGTGATCTGCAAGCCAAGGTAGCTGCGCAGTTCACCCAGGTCTGTGCACGTGTGTCTCTTCTGCAGCTCGGACTTCACGTGGGCGAGTCCAGCAGTGTCAGCTGTGGCAAAGACCAAGTCGTCGACGTACACGAGGATGTAGAACGGCGGCAGAGAGGTGTCGGTGCGTAGAAACAGCGACGGGTCGGCAGTAGAAGGAGCAAACCCAAGAGCCGCAAGCGTAGTCCTCAGT